CACTACACCCTTATTTGGTTCATTCTGTGAGTTTAAATCTGGGGTTTATTCATGATAGCTTTTATTTTTGTGAACGTTTTCACTGATAAGGAAGCAGGAACCTGAAGTCTTATGCTTTACTCTCAATGAAACTGTTTGTGGTGTGGATGAAGCCTTTGAATTTAATTATTGTTGCCTGCAGTTCTTTTGAACACATCCTGAGACAATGCAATGCTTTGTAGTTGATACAAAAAGCACCTTTTTTAGACGCTTGATTAGTGCTCTGAGTATACAGAAATAGTCATGGTGATAAAAACTACTGGGATGATTTTATACCAATGTTATAAAAGCTGTTATCGCCCTGTCCTTTGGTTTTTGTGCCCGTTTTATTTGGATGTTTTCACATTAGCATCAGCTGCATACCTGCTTGTTTCCAGCTGTTTATTTCTCCTTTTAGGGATTTATCTCCATCAAAACATTCGGACATTACAAAATTAAACCCAGCTGCTGTTTTGTTTTTAACCAGACAATCAGCTCTGTCCAGTAGTCATCATCAATGAAGACTATACTTTACATCGATCCAATGCACTGATATATTCTTATATCACCACTTTGACGTTTTTAATGTTTAAACTCGCCAAAACACTCTCTCTTGAAGTTGAAAGAGTTTCCTCCTTTTCCACGTCCCTTTCATTTTCCACCTGACACCTCATGCTCTTATTTATTGCTATATTTTTCTATTCGTTGAGTCTCTTTTGCAATATAAAGGTGGTACAGTAAATATTTCACTGTAGCATAAACCACAGTACAGGCTTGCCAGTTACAATACCCAAATATACTTTTTTCCCCTCTCTGTGTACATAAAATATACAACATGTAAAAAAAAACAAGAAAAAAACTTGAAATACTGCACACTGCTTTTTTAAGAGTGCTTGTTTAATAATGTGTCATTTCAAATCTTTTTATTTAATCTTTCATTTTGTGCCAAGATTTAATTTTTATTTTCGCTCTCTCTGTTGTTTTCATCCTCACCTGATGCCCTTACCTGTAATAAAAGATTCTGGTTTTATCGCTGTTTACAAACATATATTTATTGTGCTGTATATAATATATAATTATTAATGTTATTACTATCATAATGCCGTTTGTCGTAAATGGTTGATTCTTATCATCCCTTTTGGTGATGGTGTGGCTGTATTACGTACCTCTTGTTGAGAGAATGTTTCTTACACATGAGCTTCAGTGTAAAAATGATCCATCATCCACATGTTTGCTTACCTGAGAACTAGCTCAGTGAAGAGAGGGGAAAGCCAAATTGTTTTCTAAAAAGAAACTGTTCCTTGGCCCATGGGCTGTGCCTTAAATTCAACACATTCATTTACTTTTAGCCTTTCTTTTTCTATTTGATTTCCTAGTTCTCTTTTGCTGCATTAGTGAATCTTTTCGGCTCGGGTCGGCCTGATCTCCTGTTTGTGAATTTGAACATGTTGCCTTTTTACCATCACAGCCAAACACAAATCGCTCTACAGCACAGCTCTGGAAAACCCGGTGCCAGTGCTGAATTTTCAGGGATTCAGGCCAACCAAGAGTCAGAGATTTACTACTTGAGTGATGTGTGGCCTATAGCCGGATGTCTGAGAGTCAAAAATTGCTGAAGTCCTGCTGCGCACAACTTCTCAGCCCTCACGCCCTAGAAATACACTCATAGATGTGACACAACCAGCTGGATGAAGAAGATACAGGAGTACTGCCATGTCTTCTGCATCCATATGGCTTGATCACAGCTAGAAACACTGAACAGGGCGCTGCAGGGGTGAGAAGTTGCAGCTCAACCACAACCTTCGACACGCAGAGGCTCAGAGACGCACCTGCATGTTCAGCCACTGCTGCATAAATTATGGCTGAAACAGTGACAGTGTGTTGCTTATCTATGCTCAGCCCACACTTCCGCTCACATTACTTGCAATATCCAAAAACCACTGACATTTTCTGCCTGGAGAGGATGGGGGTTAAGTATATTTCTGTAGTGAAGGGGAGTATTTGGGGGGATCAGGGTGGGTTGGGTAGGGGTTTGGGTGAGTGCATCATTGTCCTCGAAACAGGGACTCTTATTTTGACACACATACTGTAGATTCTAAACAGCCCTGGACCAATGGAAACAGTGGGTTTTTTTCTCATGTGTTCTATTTTTATGGTATGAAAGGAAAAACACAAACTGTAACTTTAAAAAAAGGTCTTCAGGACAATTATTTTTTGGGTTATGTCTTTAGAATGCCAACTTGTCTGGAAGTTTCACAAGACAATTAAAATGTTATTTTAATGGATTCCTTGTTAATTGCAGTCTATTGGATAGCACTGTAGATCATACAACTTTGTGTAAAAAAAAAAGAAAAACAATGAAAAAATTTTTATATGCAATGGATTAAATAAAAGCATGGGTTGATTCTGCCTACTTGTTGGTTATTTGTTGTCTTTTTTTTCAGGTTTTACACAGTCTGTGTGAAACAGATGCACCATATGTTTGCTTCACTAATACCAGAGACCAGAATACAATTTTAGGTAATACAACAACTCTCCACTGATATTTTTGGAGAACACGTCAGTCTGTTCAGTTCATTTCAGCTGCACATTTTCTAAAAGATAAAAACATTTGAATAAAAACTGAAATATTGTGAAAAAGTTCAATATTTTCCATCAGTGTTTTAAGAAAGTAAAATTGTCATGAACTTCATATAACTGAACGACTAGCATGTCTGATAATCAACATCTGATTATCTAACTCAAACTCATTATCTAATTCAAAAGTGAAACTTCCATAAATTCAAGATTCATCACACACAAAATGAAACATTTCAAATTGTTTTTATTTTAAATAGTAAAATCAACTATCTCAAAACATTAGAAAATTGAAAAAAAAAACAAGCCAAATAAAGGATTATAATACAAAAATACTGACCCTCTGGAAAATCATGCTTTTTAGTCAAGGCTTCTGTCGCCTGAATGGCATGGAGGTATCAGTTTATGGCTCTGCTGAGGTGTTGAAGAAGTTCTGGTTGCTTTGATAGTGGCCTTCAGGTCCTCTGTATTATTGCCCTGGTGTCCCTCATCTTCATCATCCATAGTCAGCAAACCAGTTTCTGGTGTTTTCTTTATCTTCTTAAAGGGATATTCTGGCGTAAAATTAGTTTAGGGTCAAACACACTGTAACAGAGTTAGACACACCCTTGAGAGATGAAGGTTGCCGACCGCTTGCTTCTCTAGTTTTACCAACTTTAGTAACAACTGCATGATAGCAATACACAGCGGTCTGAGGAGCCATAAACAAACCTCAACCAAAAAGCCACTCTATAGCCACAAATAATGCTCAGAACAGCACCTAACTTCATCAACAGTACATATAGGGTCCCAGCCATAGGACTAGCCACCAAACATCTTTTTAACTTTGCCTGATTTCTTTAGCAAAGAGACTAAACACAACTAACCCACCCGCTTCCAGCAGCTGCTTGATTGTAGTGAGACCTCGGGCCAGTCCATTACGGTCTGTTGCGGGGTGACGCAGCTCAAGGAAGAACATTTATGATAATTTCTTCATGGAAATGCAATCAGACCGAGACGCTAAGGTAGAAGAAGTATCACGTCTGCAGTGCAAAATGGTTAATGACCCTAGGCTTGATAACACGCAATAGACCATCAGCAGCAGATGACATGGCAGGGGCGGGGTCCGGGGGAGGCGACTTGGGCTCTTTGCACTGCAGACGCAGTAGTTCTTCTGCCTTAGCATCTTGGTTTGATTGTATTTCCATGAAGAAATGATCATAAATGTTCTTCCTTGCTCAACGCGGTTCGTCTCCCTGCCCTGACCGCACCAGAGCCTGAAGTGTAGGATCCCTGCAGTACCGGAGTCCAACAGAGAGGCAGCAGCATCTGGAAGTAACCTCCGTTCATACTCTGCCCTGCCAACAAGTTTGTCCTCCTGTCTGATTCTGTTTCCTGTGTTTATTGCGGGAGTTCAAATCAAGGATCTGTCAGATCATGGACGTACCTACACATGGAAGTGAATCATGGACATAAGAAACTTTTTCTCGGCGGCGGCGCAACGACCCACCAGCAACTCCAACGTCGGAACAGATGTTTCAGGTCTGTGAATTTTTAGATTCAAACCCACTACTTATGGCCATAGCGCCGGCGCTATGTTTTGTATGTGTTATTACCGTAACTCCACCAGTTTGCCCGATCAGAAAAGTTTCAACGTTTTCGATTCTCTACGGTCGTAACCAAATGAGGTAGATAGTCGTTGCAAAACACAGGAAGTATCGGTAGAGCGCTACACAGCTTCTCACTACTGTAACTCCTTGAAAGTTTGCTCAATCTGAAAATTCAAACGCTGACAGACCGCTGAGAATCTGTGCTTTCTGTCAATATATGACGTACGGTATATATTACGGTAATCTTGAATGGTACCACCAAAACGGCAGCTTTGACAGGGGCGAGGGAGAAAAGGAGAGTGGAGAAAGACAGAGCAAGCAAAATAGTGTTTTTGTTTGTTTGTTTGTTATTTGTAACTCTGTGCAGCAGCCTTTTCAGCGGTGACTTTCTGTGGCTTACGCTCCTTGTGAGAGTGTCATTGACGGTCACCTGCATAACTGTTAAGTCTTTTTTCAGAATATTTTAATGTTTTGAGATAGTGGATGTATTTTTTGAGTTGATCAAGATATAAACAAAAAAAAGTCTTAAAAATATTTCACCTTATGTAAGCTGAATCTGGAATATTTGGATGTTTATTAACCAAAATTTACTTTTTTGGGACATTTTAATTTTTTGAGCTGCACCTGTACATGAGAATAATATCAGCATCACAATCAAGGTCTAAATGTCCCAATCATGGTGCAGTACTCAAGCTCAAACACTGGGTGGCGCACATTACCTAGAATTGAAACAAGGCAGTTGTGCTGCAAGAGCAATAAAGAAAAAAGCCTCGGCCTCCAAACAGTCTGCAATGAGAAAAAGAAGACACAGACAACCTCTGATAGAATTTGATTTATTTCCTATAATCTCAAAAACATATTTCTTGGTTTGCTTGCACTCTGAGAAACAAATATATTCAGTTATATGTAAAGTCATTACTGATCTAAAATGAGAGTGGACCAGAGTAACTTTTTTTGGGCACTGAAATGCCACATAACTATTTCTCTATTAAATGAACTAGGCTGGAGATCAATACAGTAATTTATTTCATGGCTGTTAGCATAAAATTATATGTCACACACATACACAGATGCACACACACGGGGCGTGTGTACACACGGATGCACAGGGTCTTGTATGTGTATCCCTTTTTTATTGGTATCACAACAGTGTGGCATCTGGCATGGACTAGGTTACCTTCCTGATCATCGTTCACAATAACACTGCATTTTGACATGAAAACACAATTCAACCAACACTCAACACTTAGCAGGAACAGCGTATAGTACGTGAATATTTTTGTACAAAAGGTATACACAAACAATACACTATATTACGTTGTTTGTCTGGTCAATATGGCAGGTACCCACAAATACACACACACACACACAGGGAGAGTCCCACATTCAGTGGCTGCAGTTACACAACAATGCACGCACACACACACACACACACACACCTTTTTCAAGATCAACCATTCTGACCACACTGTCCCTCAAACACACCGCGAAGGACAGGAGAAACTATGTACAGGGTTTCATTCATAAAATATTGCACTTATTGGCCCATTGCATCTCACAGCGAGTGCTATGACAATGCTTCTAAATCTGTAACACAGAGTGATATTTATATACATCTTATAGAAACCTATATGGACAAGTCAGGGCTGACTTCATGCAATTTTTTGGGCTTTTATTCGACTATGCAACAAACAACTTACAATGATAAAGGAACTATGACGTTTGGCACGTTTTTTCACTATGAGTTGCAGAACTTAAAGGCTTCCTGGATGTTAAAATAAGCTTCATCTTTTATACCGCATATGTTGAATTTATTTTTAAGACCACTGCAGCACTGTATGTCGGTAATGTTTCTTTCTTCCTTTCTGGAGGGTTTGAATTTCATCACATAAACATGACATGTTAGCATGCTGACTTTGAAGTTAAACAACATGATTTATATATGGCTGTTTATTCCATGCCAGTGCTGATCAGTTGTTGTTTAATATACACTTTTCTGTGCCTTGCCAGTATGAGATTCTTTTTCAAAGTAATGTTGGATCGCCACTATCATAGTTAGCTTCTACTTTAAGACAAAACAGTACACGGGATTGATTTTTTTGAAGCATGCTCATCGCATCAAACTATAAAGGGTCATCTTAGAGGCTAAGCACATAGAAATATTTGCTTTTAAGATTTTACAGGTACACTTATTGAAATATCACACATCTAAAGACAGCAAAACGTGGAATAGTACTCACATCAACATTATTCATACTGGATTCATTCCCAAAGTAAGTAAGCATGACAGAAAAACCTACAGAGGCCGTGTTGGAGATGCTAAAAGGCCACTTTTTTATCCAAGGTAGATAATTTTTTAAGATGACAAAAGTCACACTCAGACTTGAAACTCATGCACTCACATACTACACAGTCACACACAACAGCCACACACTCAGGACACTAAAGAAAGCCGCTACATCCTATAGTGCACGAAATCATAGATTTGGCAGCTTTAGGAGATCAAATAACCCTATAAAAGTAAATCCATACTGTACAAAGAATGAAAAAAACTATTCAAGCACTCACTTTTTCAATAACTTTATAATTATTTTAGGTCTTAAAGGTCTTCGGGATTAACTGTACATATTGACTATGGCCTTATTGATCATACTTACTTTACCACCATACTAACTAGCTGAAAATTGAGAATATGTTTTTTCTATATTGTAAATATCCTGTAATGTTACACATTATACACAGCCATGACTGTTTGTCTGGTTATTTGCTTTTGATATAAGGTGATAAAAGTTGAGAGATAATACAACAGCCATTTGTAATTCTACCACTAACCAGGGTGTGAAGTGCAGTGTCCAGAGAAAGCAGCACTAGCAGGAGTGAGAACGCTGAGGGAGAAATAAAAACTCGGGACACCTTACAAGACCTGCGCTGCCCTCCCTTTGCTCCCAAATGTTGGTCACTAACAGTTGCACCCCTGCTGCTGCAGCGGTGGAGCGCTGTCTGTGAGTTTGGCGGTGGGGGCTCCCGTGGTGACAGCGGGGTCGCTGTCCAAACTCTCAGACATCTTGTCGCAAATTAGGTCGACGAGGCGTTCAAAGGTCTGCTTCACATTGATGTTGTCTTTGGCGCTGGTCTCAAAGAATTCAAAACCTTGGGCGAGAAAGAGAGAGAAGTGGGTAACACTTTATATTAAGGTGGTTGTAATAAGTTGTAATTAACATGTAATATGTCACTTATAAGACATAAGACCTTATTAGATTCTTATTAACATAAATAAATCTATACAAGTGTTAATAGAGGCATAATAAACACCTTTATTATGTCTTATAAGATGCTTATATATACTAATTAGAAACTTATTGTTTATATACTGTCATAAACATTAATAAGATGTTTGTTTACATTAATAACGCTTCATAAGGAAGTATAAAAGCCTTATAATACTTTGTTATGCACTTATTATGCACTAATAAAGCTTCTTTGTAGGTACTGGATCTAAAGTAGGAAGACTGCTTATAAAGATTAATAAATACCTTATAATGTGCTCATTAAGAGTCAATAAAGCTTCTCTGCAGGTACTGGATCTAAAGTAGGAACACTGCTTATAAAGATTAATAAGCACATTATTAAGTATTGATTAATCTTTATAAGCAGTGTTCCTACTTTTGATCCAGTATCTGCAGAGGACCTTTTTTAGTGCATAATAAGTGCTTAACAAAGTAATATAAGGCTTTTATACTTCCTTATAAAGTGTAATTAACAAACAAACATCTTATTAATGTTTATGATATTTGATCGATTAATAAGTTTCTAATTAGTGCATAAAAGTGTCTTATAAGATGTAATAAAGGTATTTATTATGCCTCTATTAATACTTCTATAGACTTATTTATGTTAATAAGGTCTTATAAGTGTAAATAATGTCTTATAAGTGACTTATTACATATTAATTACAACTTATTACAGCCACCTTGATATAAAGTGTTCCCAACAAGGGGAACAAAGTGCAGAAACTGTTTTCTTGTGGCAACACACATTATGAAGATGCTGCCCAATTTAAAATTGAAAAAAGGGTAAATATAACTCAGAGACTTACCCAACTGTTCAGCCAGCAGTCTGCCACTATCCACAGACACCACTCTCTCTTCATCCATATCACACTTATTTCCAGCCAGCACCACCTGTGCATTATCCCAAGAGTAGGTCTTTATCTGGGTTGACCTGCGCACAATTAGAAAAGACAGTAAAACAAGAATAATCACAATCAAAAACATTGTTTCTACCTTTTATGAAAATCCCATTCAGATATTTTTAGAGCTAGTTCTGTTGGAAGAGGTCCTGAGGAAGCAAACAAAAAAGATGGCAGACAAGGACATGGGTTCGGCCATTTGGAGCGGTCATGAACAGAGATGACATCATCATGTGTTTGGCATCCTGTAATGTTTGAGTCACTGATAACAACAGTGAAAAGTGGGTCAAATTCTTGCTACTAAAATTATTTAATCACTTGACGATGATGCTGATTTTTTTTGCGCGGCCTAGACCGGCCTTCAGGACCACTGGAAGAGGTTATCTGTCTGTCCAGATGATTTCTGGGGGTCTGTGGGTTTAAAACAAATTGAGAGTACATGTAGTCACACAGAGCTGAAGCCACCTAGCCCCACTCTTACATAGTATTGATGATAGTATTATCTCTGCCTGACTTCAAACTTGGGAAGGAGAGAAAATTGACTGCAAAACAGAAAGAGGGAAAAAGAAAAACATACCAATGAGGGTGGGGAAGCCCTGGAGGGAAATGCAGCTGAATGCAGCAAAATTAATGTTTAATTAATACCTTCTCATGTGTGGGACATAATTAGCATTTAAAAAGCAGCATGCTAACAGATCTGCCTTAAGAATGACCTATAGACAACCATAGAAATATAACTTTTAAATGATACATAGAGGTCTTTATGAACTTCTGTAACCAGGTTAAAGGGATATTCCAGCATAAAATTAATTTAGCGTCAAACACACCATAACTATGAGTTGGACACCCCCACGAGAGATTAATGTTGCCCACCGCTCGCTTCTCCTGTTATACCAACTTTAGTAACGATCGCACGATAGCAATACACGGCAGTCTGAGGAGCCATAAACAAACCTCAACCAAAAAGCCACTCTATAGCCACAAATAATGCTCAGAACAGCACCTAACTTCATCAACAGTACATATAGGGTCCCAGCCATAGCACTAAAACATCTTTTTAACTTTGCCTAATTTCTTTAGCAAAGAGACGAAACACAACTCACCCACTCTCTTCCAGCAGCCGCTTTTTTGTACGGAGACCCCAGGCCAGTCCATTACAGACTACAGCGGGGTGACGCAGCTCAAGGAAGAACATTTATGATCATTTCTTTGCACTGCAGACGCGGTAGTTCTTCTGCCTTAGCGTCTCGGCCTGATTGTATTTCCATGAAGAAATGATCATAAATGTTCTTCCTTGAGCTGCGTCACCCCTCAGCAGTAACGGACCGGCCTGAGGTCTCGCTACAAACAAGCGGCTGCTGTAAGAGAGTAGGTGAGTTGTGTTTAGTCTCTTTGTTAAAGAAATTAGGCAAAGTTAAAAATATGTTTGGTGGCTTGTGCTGTGGCTAGGACCCTATATGTACTGTTGATGAAGTTAGGTGCTGTTCTGAGCATTTTTTGTGGCTATAGAGTGGCGTTTTGGTTGAGGTTTGTTTATGGCTCCTCAGACTGCTGTGTATTGCTATTGTGGAGGTTTTACTAAAGTTAGTATAACAAGAGAAGCAAGCAGTGGGCAACATTCATCTCTATAAAACAGTAGAATCCTCATAAGGATTATTATAAAGCCTATAAATGCATTTATGACTCTTTTTTTGATGTGCCTATGATGTATTATAAGAGGTGAGGTCATATGGAGTGTTAGAGACTTAAATGTGTTTAAGGGACACATAAACTGAAGGAACACTGGGTACTAACATCGATCTGTAATAAAACCTCTGAGAAAAGCTGGTGTAGCTAATTCGAAATAAATAATCGCTGAATACACTTCACTGATGAGACCAAGTGTATCATCATGTGAACTTTGAGTCTTAAGCCTCTGAACCACAAGTGAAGATAACATGATTGGTCAGCGTGGTCATAAAAGTCGAGGCAGCAGAACAAATGTGAAAGAAAACATCCCCATATTTTGAGTGCCTGTACTGCTCCAACCTCCAAACACATTTTGAGGCAGATTTTAGGGAACAAAACTGTCTCCTGTGGTGTTGCAGTTTGACTAAAAGTAGGGCAGCTTACATACCACAGGCTGAACACAGCAGAGAGAGGAGTAGAAAGAAAGAAAACTAGAGAAAGAAAGATAGAAAGAAAGAAAGAAAAGAACAGCAGGATGTTGGCACTTCTCTCTCTGTTCATTGATTGGAGGACAACTGTGTTTGTTTCGCGACTCCAGCCCAACAAAAAGGGCCTGTACTGTATACCTCCATCATTTCTGAACATTTTAGCCAAATGAAAAAATATACATGTATCTTTTAATCCTTGTGTTGTTGTGATAGCATTTCATCTGCATAGAATTATAAAATAAATCTTAAGATGTCTTTTAAGTCCCACATTTGATGTCACCATTGCAATATTTTCCTGTCTTCTCTCCCTGTCACAGGCAGGAAATGAACACGTCAGAGGCTTAATTCAGCCACAGTCTGGGAAGGAGTGGTTACCACGGCAACCCCTTTTTTTCCTACAACCTTGTCACAAGGAACAAGGGAACAAGAAAGTGGAATTTAAGCCTGTGGCAAAGGCAGAGAGGAGATATCTGCTCGTATGAGAGTCAAAAAACAGACACTTCCTCTCTTGTTGACTGATCTGTGTGCTGTCTGGAAGGTAAACTCACAGGTGAGTCTGCACGACCATCTCTGCCAATGACACACTTTGCTCTATTAATTTAAAGCCACCAACAGACAAAGCTCAGACTGCTGTACTTCATCAAAGTGTCAGACATGCTGTAAAATAATAATAGGTGTGTCTGAGTCGGAAGAAAACCTTGATTTTAAACGTAGGATGATGGGACACTTATTTCAATACAAATCCAACTCATAATGGACGTCTTCAGCACAATGCACACTAACGACTTTAAATAGCAGGGCTAATAACTATAAACATATCTCCACTCAGACCAAAGGCAGCTGATTTTGCTTTGACAAGCTTACGCAGCTGTCAACTGCTGCTAGCTTAGAGATAAGAGCCGAGCAGACAGTGGCCTTGATAGTGATTGTCATCGTGCTAGAAAGGGCACGCAGGTGATATGTCAGCTGCAGAAATACCACCGTCTATGCCAAGCTCATGTAAAACCTAGCATCATTTCCTTGCAGCGACTTCAAAAACACATCAGGAGAATAAAACCATGCTGATTCAGAAACCCTTCTCTCTCTGAAATGCTCATTCTGTGCTCTGTAATCTCTTCTGGCTGGCAGAGAGAGATAGCTGCAAGACAGCAGGGTGTAAATAAAATTGAAGATGACCGTTTCCAACCAAACATCTGCAGAGAGTCAGGGTGCGAGAAGAAATTAAAAACATACATGTATTTTCATCTGCAGAGCTCAAACTCCATAGCGCTGTTTATGCTGGTTATGCGATTCTTGTTGTTTCTAGAGCAAGAATGCTAACCCAGAAACCTGATTTCTGCAGCCAACTGCACACCATCTTCCAAGTCATGGGTTAGATGTTAATGCATCATCATAAAGCTGTGGCATTTGGGCTTGGCTCAGAGTTACTGTCCAGCCTGCAGACGGTTACGTGACTCATAAAAGACCTTGACAAACCTCGCTGAGAACTCCAAGTTGGACAAAGACTCACCCCACCACTCTGCACAACAAGTCTGTCACATATCAGAGACAGGAGCTGGGTATGTTCAATGTCAAGAGTACAGGATATGTGGAGATCAAATTACAGCAACACACAGGAAGCCCTTTTGATACACTTGTCTGGTCTTGATTACAGTAGAAGACAGAAACTGGATAAAAGGAGACATCAAAAACAGACGAATATTAACTCATACGAGCCAGAAAGAGACTCACCAGTCCTGCACGGCGCCAAAAGACTCCTCGTTGGTGATGTCGTACATGAGGATGAAGCCCATGGCCCCGCGGTAGTATGCTGTAGTGATAGTCCTGTAGCGCTCTTGGCCTGCTGTGTCCTACAAACAGACGACATGATGTTAGCAGGCTGATTGATATTTACACTGTCAGGCTCAGAAACATTGACATGACCCTGCAGCTGCAACACACACACTATATGCTCATCTTTGATGTCAAATAAGGGGTATACATTATTCATCTGCAGCTATTTATACCCACTTAGACTTCCTTGAACATATATATGAGCATAATTTAAAGCATCGCCTACTTTTGTGCATCCATTTGAGGCAGTGTTTGTTGTGCTCATGATGTGGAAACGATCATTCTGCTAATTACCTCTGTGGCTTTGCATTGATAAGATGCCAAAAAGCAGTGATTTCATTTAGGCGGGAGAGATTGATTGTTTCCTCTCCTCTATAAAATAATCACTCAGCTGTGTTGGACCCGGAGTATGCTTTTCTTGAAAAAAAAGGGGTCTAAAAATAGAGGTTGGAAAGCTTTAAACACGGAGAAGCTGCTTGCTGTTTTATGATAAGGTTGAACGATTTGCTCAAAGGCACAGTGAGCGAGTGATTACACAGCATCCGAGGAGTGGTTCATTGTACACAGATTACCCTGGAAACAAGCTCCTCACTGCAGCCCTTTTGCTATGAGATGTCAATGAAAATGCTAATCAAGCCCAATACAGACAGATGAAGAGTGTGTCCGTGAAAGGAAGGAGGAGAGATGTGTTGTCTTTCCTCATCAGTTATAACAGATGTGGGAATTTGCATGTTTTACAATAAGTTACATAATAATAATAGACTCCCATAATGCACCTCCTGTTTGTACTGCATGTTTTCTGTCCCACCCACAACAAGTGTGTTCACATGCTTCTGGGAATCATGATGGACCACTCCTGGCTGCTCCACTTGGCTCTCATTAAACAGAAGCCCCGACAGGCGGCACCGGGCTTGTTATTTGCCAGGGTCGTCGTGCTCGCCATCCTTCTGCACATGGTTACAACAGAGTGCTGTGCGTGTGTTATAGCCAGGGGACAGCGCTGACCTTCACACCACAGAGGCAGAGCTCACATTCTGCAGAACATCCACACACTCCATAGATAGCACCTTTTGTTGCGTTACAGTAACTCTAGAAACGCACTCAGAGGCCTGCGTTTTTCATGTCGCGTCAGCAGGCTGAAGCTTTCTCTGAGCAGCACAAAAATGTGGGTAACACTTTATTTGATGCCTATCTCTATAACGCACCATAAATATATGTATAATGCATTATAATCACATTAAAGCACTGTATAACTATAGTCATAAACACTTATAAATGATCATAATGCTTTAAAGCGATAATCATAACACACTATAAAGCATTTTATCATGACTTACAAGGTCAGGTATTATAATGTGTTATAACTGTTAACAACTCACTGACAATTCCCACATAGATAATGCATTATACATATATTTATGATGTGTTATAATTTGCTTATAAACTTGTATAACTATCATTAGAAACACTCATTAATTATCATAAGGCTTTATAACAATAAGCATAACACATTATTATACCTGACTTTGTTAGTCGTGATAAAAATGCTTTATAATGTGTTATGATTATTGTTATAAAGTATTATGATCATTTATGAGTGTTTATAACTATAGCTATACATGTTTATAAGCAAATTATAACACATCATAAATATATGTATAATGCATTATCTATGTGGGCATTGTCAGTGAGTTGTTAACAACTTTAACACATTATAATACCTGACCTTGTAAGTCATGATAAAATGCTTTATAGTGTGTTATGATTATTGCTATAAAGCATTATGGTCATTTATGAGTGTTTATAACTATAGTTATACAGTGCCATAACGTGTTTATAATGCATTATATCTATATTTATAATGCGTTATAGAGATAGATGTCAAGTAAAGTGTTACCAAAATGTTTTTAAGGTTGTACCATGTCATGATGCAGACTGTAAAAGTCATCTGCATGTTGTTTAACACTCCTTTTTTTGATCTTCTTGTGTGAATTATAAGTCTTAGACATGCCATTAGCCTATTGATTCTTGCGTAAGTGCCTGACAGTGACCTTTGCATTACGAGGCTATTTTCCTGTTAAAAAGGCAGAGCAGGACAGAAAAAAGATGCTGAGTCCAGTAAATTTGAGCTCCTTGAAAATGCTTAGCGCGTAGTCTGCATTTCAACAAAAATCAATCCGAGAAGCAGCTGACTACTTCAAGAAGGGCTGTATAGTGTGTGCAGGCTGACACTTCGCTGAACTCCTCTTCATTCAGTAAAGTGAGATTCAAATTTTCTTAGAGGTCTTTTTGGCCAGGCTTGGCTTCTTCTCCTTCAGTATGCATCTGAAAATACATTTCTGTGCTTTTACCTGTCATTAGATTTATAGTTTAACAGCCTCGGTGACATTAACCTAAAGCCATCACCTTACACAGCCACTTACTCAAAGTCTCAGCTCTCTGTGTGCCCAATTAAAACAGACAGGCCAATTATGTGGATGTAAGGGTGATCCTTTTTCCTTCTGAATATGCTTGTCTTCGCTAATGATGAAAACACATTAGCCCTATTAGCCACTCATTTGACTGTTTAAATCAAGTTTTCACATCCTGCCGCGACGAGTCTTTTCTGTCCCTTTATTTGATTAACAAACACCAATCGTCTGGGGGATGGCTAATTGCTGGAGAAGACAACTATTTTGACAAGGGACCGCAAAACCTCTGAAGGAAAACTGGCACTACAGAATAACAGAAAGACAGCAACAAAGAGTTTAACTTTTTTTACCTTCACTATTTCAGATGTAATACAAGACAATCTGCTTCAACAGTTCACATCAACTCCTAATTAAAAAGCCTCAGACAGTCTTCAGTTTCCTACACGTTCTGTGAGAGGTGTTGTTTCTCTGCTCTTCCTCACCGTGTGCCAAACTAACACTTGTTAGTCTCCTGTCGGTGATGCTGAGACTTCCATCTGCCTCTATACTTCCACTCTGGTGTTGAAGACATCACAAAACAGCCTTTCCTCAAGATTTACTGTATGCTGATGACAATGATGCACCACATGTTTTCAAGACTACAGAACAAAACATATTGTCTGCTCTGAACTCGAGAGCTGAACTCTTCAGGGTGTTATTATGTAGTCTAGAGAAACATCGCCTTATGGTGCTTTTTTAACTCTTTCTAGGTGTCACTAAATCTATTTGTCTCTTCTATACTTTGAGTGAAAACTGTATAACATGTAGCAAAGCTTTTCTGATCTGCCCCAAGAGCCAAAAGCCTGAATTAAATCAGATCAATGCACATAGGTGATCCCATGAATGCAAGACTTTTTTGTCCGACAGCCTGTCACAGTCCTTGAAATGTATTGATCAAGAGAGAGAGATACAGACAGAGGTCAGGAGAAGGTGGACTCTGGGTAATGATTGACAGCCTTATAGAGACAGGAGTCACTCAGCAGGAACACAAAGACTGTAAGGACAGAGAAAACGAGGGGGGAGGGAGTCTCTAAAGAGCCCCTTCCCCCTTGATAGTCCTCTAGTACACCTTAGAGGACAACATGATGCAGATTTCTTTTGGTCTCTGGATTTCAATTGGCTTAATGAAAATTTGTGCTAGTTTGCATGACCAAAGAAAAAGACACAAAGCAAAAATACAGCTGGCGTGTTGCTGCTTGTTAATCCAGAAATGTGTATTCTTTCCACCCTAGATTACCAATTTTCGATCATATCTGGGATTAATCTCTCTAAATGAAAGAACTGACAGGAGAAAAGCAGAGCTAAGAAGCCAAAAGTGTTGCATTTTCCTCTATCTCCATCTAGCTTGGTCAGGTTTTAAGATTTCGCGGCTCACTTCTAAATGTTTAATGCTTTGAGTTTAATATTTCATACCCAGATCTGCAGCTTGATCCTCTTGTCATTCTTGTACACGGTCTTCACTTTAAAGTCGATGCCCACCGTGCTGACGAAGGCTGAGGTGAAGGCATCATCGGCGTATCGGAACAAGAAGGACGTCTTGCCTACGCTGCTGTTGCCGATGATCAGCAGCTTGAACATGTAGTCAAAGTTTTGGTCCCCTCCCTCTCCCTTCCCTTTCACATCCTGGGTAGCAGCCATCTGCAAAAAAAGGGGGAAAAATCATAGAGAGACACTGAGCAGATTGCAGAAAAAGCCTCACCTTGAGTTGGTGTGAAGCTTCTCAGATCTGTGACGCACTGGAGATGTGGACCAATGAGAGACAAATCATCTATTCTTTATTGGACGCTGTACTATTTTTAAAAAGCGACTTCTACCACAGTTTGGTTATATGTGCCAAAGAGCCAAAGGAGGACGTAAGAGCTATATGTTACACACAGGGCATGTTTTAAGCTTGGTGTACCACACAGACCACACAGATCAGAGGTGACAGAAGGCTTGCTCAGGCAAACCAGCATGACCAACACTGCAAGCTGTCATATTGATGAGTACCATTTAAAGCAGAGCTGACCTTACCCTCTATGGAGCCACCCTTAAATTACTCAGTAAGTCAAACTATAAGATTGATAGTTCAGAGGCATTCAAATGCAGCTTTTATCTTACACTACTGTTTTAGAGATGATGTTGTATTAGACAAAACGTCTATTTTGTTTTGATTAAGTTGTGCAATTCACAATTTGACATTCTATTTTCACTCTTTTGCAGGTTTCATGCCTGTCTTCTGCTGATACACCCTTGCAGCCATTTAATCTTCCATTTTAGAGCGGATACTCTTCCCTAGCTTCCTCTGTACGCTAGAATCAAACATTTTCCCTGGTTAAAAAAATGACTGTTTCACCTTAAACAATACCGAGCAGGCTGTCAGCAGACAGCGACCTAAACGGACACGAGGACTGGCAGCAAAAAATGACAAGAGCAGAGTCATCTTTGCTCCAAGGTGAATGTTTTGTCAAAGCCACTGCGCCTAACATGCCAAACACGGGCAGCTAAGCTCTTCCTTTCAATCGATGCTTTTATAAAAGATGCCGGACATCCATCCTGCACCGGTTTCGCTTCCGTGTATGAGAAAAAAAAAACACACACTCTCACTCAAAAACCATGTATTTGCAAGGGCATCGCTTTGAAATATCATTGCAAAGCTGGCATCCTTACCACCGGAGATAAAAAAACAGTCGTTTTAGCGAGAAATTACTCGATGTAGTTTGAGTGGGAGATGCACGCCAGCTAATATTAACAAAGCAAATCTGGGCAGGAGGTCATTGTATCGGCAGATTGGAATTAAACCATATTACTGTTAATAAACGAAACTACCAAAACCGTCGATGACATGACGTGAACAAACCTGGTCTGAAGGCCTCGCGCTCTATCTGTATGTGCTCGTGTTTTGCAGAATAGGCGTTTTATTTGAGTGTCTAACGCAGGCGGTGGTGATGATTCTCTTCCCCCCTCCGCGTCTCTCTCTTCCTCTCTTTGGAGCGCCGAGCAGTTTCAGCACCTGGGAGCTGTCCCCTCCGCTTCGGATGTGGCACGCGCCCCTGCGCTGACGAAGCTGGCTCGCGTGAGATGAGCACGAGCAAAAAGGGAAAGTGCGTTCTGTGCGTGTGCTCTGACGTCAATTCAGGGGTTGCGGGGGTCAAAAGGATGGGGGTTGTAGTTTTTTTCGCCGGGTATCAACTCGTCGGAGCAGGATGGACTAAAAAGTCGATTATTGACTGTATTACAGAGCATGAAGGGTGGAGACTTTACAGTGGACGAACAGGAAACCATACTTTATGAAAAATTAACCCTCGAGGTTCTGACGATAGGGGAGAGTGGGGTAGGTTGAGCCACCCCCTGTTGCTTGGAAATAGTAAAAGAAATTTATCATGTGACCAAATATTTTGGAGATGGGCATCAGTTCATGGAGTCTGGGAATTTCTCTCTGGGATTAATAAAGTATCTATCTGTCTATTTAGGTTAAAAGCACATGGGTGAAGGGGTTAGACATTTGTTTAAAAAAAAAAAAAACATTTTTCTCTCTTGAAAGTGAATTTACTCTGTCATAAGTTTTATTAGAATTGTTTTCAGACCAAAAAGATCATTTTAAATTTGTTTTATACATCAATTGTGGTATCTCTGAGCTACAACATAAAAGTCCATCATTTTAGCTTAGAGGACTAATAAAGTCATCATAGTAGTTCTGGGGTAAGTTGAGTCAGTGGTTCAACTGAGAAAGTAAAGGAGTCTATGATGAGAGGATCAGAGTTTCAGTTCAGATTGTTAAAATGTGTTACTTTTTCTTTTCAAAAATACTGCTGTGAATGTTCTGAATCACTTAAAGACATTCTCGTGTTAAAATGGCTTTTTACAAAACAGCTTTTTAGCAGTTATATGCAGTAATAATAAAACGAATTAGTGTACCAGTTGAAGAGCATGTAATAGATAAAAATACACATGAATATGAAGAAGTGACTGAAGGTGAGGGAGGGCTGGGGGGTAGTAGTGATATGGCTCAACTTACCCCGCTCCTATGGTCAACCACTTTGTTTGGCATGCTATATTATCAAGACAGTTATGTTTACACTCATTCTGTTGGTTTACAGGGATGCACAACATCTTAAAATATTTACAGATACACTAGTTAGAGACAAAACTGTGATTGCCTTGATGTATTGATCCGAAATGTGAAAAATGGATCATCTTACCCCACTCTCCCCTACGTTTCTCCTGTCAAACATGAGTAATACAAAACAGCAATAAAACTCTAAACCTGTCATTGCTTTCTCTCTCTTTCTAGTGAAATCATGCACCTTACCTTCCCATACAAGTCCATCTTAGATATAGCCTTATTTAAAGTGACTTCTTTAAAATCCACCCTATAGGAGCAACAGTAAACTCCCGAGACGCATATTTTTTTCCAGGAAGCAAATATAATCGCCCCTTTCTTTTGCGTCACTCTCACGTCGCCGTCCCCCACCTATGGAGCCCGGCCCCGCTTCAAAAATATGGACGTTTGAGCAAATACAAGAGGCCTGAGTGAAGCTGATGAATATTATCATCATCATCATCATCATCATCATTGTGGGTCTTTCAGTGAGAGCAAAAGGAGGCCTTGGCAGGAAATGGAAAAATAAGCGTCTTACTTTGCAATTGTAATGACATCGGTTCTTTTTTAGGCGGATTTGGAAAGCTGCATAATTAATCTGAAAGGTGCAAATGTGGACGTGGAGCGTTTTCATTAGGAAGTGAGGACCGGTGGGTTTGCAAGATCTATTATTCTGAGCGGTTTCCGGGGAGTTTTAAATAGCCTCTTCCCCATTATGAATCATTTCGTACTTAAGGCTGAAATTATTCATAACAGTACCCCATGCGTAAAGACGCGCAACACCAGTCACAAGAGACGTTGTATGAACGTAGACGACAATCTGGATCCACTGTAGTGTTGAGTTTCTTGGGTAAGCCAGGAAGGCTGAGCGATTATTTGATAGGCCGTGAATAAAGTTATAGGGCGGGCTGTAGTGAGGCTGACCGCCCTTTAAAGGATTTGCATGTTCAGGCTGAATGCGCAGCTGCAGACGTGGGGGCGGGTCAGGTAGGTTGATCAGACACGTTTGTCTCTGCGAATCTTAAATTTCGATTTCTAACCTAAAAAATGAACGACAGCTTTCCACCATATGTTTAAAACTGGATCACAAGTAGATGCATTGTGCCTCGCTTAATCCGTCCAGACTCAGCAACCATGAAATTTGGTTTCTGCACTTTTTGTATGCAATTATTTCTTTTTTCTTCTTTTTTGTTATATTGGGAGTGAGAGCCAACGTATGAAGTTACTCGCGTCAAAGTTAATGTGTCGGTGCAGAACACATGCCTTTGGAGTGGTGAACAAAACTTTTCTAGATGTTTCTTCCTGAATGAGATAAGACCACAGTGGCACCATCTGCTGTTGGAAAAGGTGCTCTGGATATATTTTTGTGCATGGATGTCCTCTAAAGCCCCCGTGGTCACTGATTAACCGAGCAGGATTGGCAGGAATCAACCAGCTTTCGTTACATAAGGTTGCGAGTTGTAGGCCTATGTTGTTTCAAAGAGAGACACTAAGAGTATTTTTAGCCCTGGCAGAAATCAGAGAACAAACACTAAACTGTTTTAGCGTATGAAAGCCTACGTGTTCTGATAAAAATAGATTTTTAAAGCCGTATTGTCAGTCTCTTTAAAGACCTCTGGATGGCCTATACACACCAACAAATGATTCCTAACAAAAAGATCTCAAATCATGGTATAATTGCTGATGGGTAACAAATTTGTCACTGTTTTTGAAACCACATCTTTCCACCAGCGCAACAAGTTTAGCCTGTTTTCACCAGTGGTCAACAATGACAGATTTTCAGTGGCCGATAGAGAGTAGGCCAACTGATGACTGAAATACAATGCAATACAACACAATATCATTATTTTGTTGTATTTGTTGTCTTTGCAGCTGACAGACTACAACATCTCAATGATACAAAAAAATTGAGACACAATTGTTGAACTTAAAAGTATTTGGCTCAGTAAGGTATGGCCACAAGGTAGTTCAGATTTGTGCACAGCCACTTAAGTTTATAAAAAATATTGAAAATATGAGACCGATATTGTTGCTGAAAAAGAAAGTTGTGAGGAAATCTTATTAAAATCTAATGTTCACAGTTAGCGTAGCCAGTAACATGTTGTGGATGAATTTCTGATGAATTGATGATTTTAAATAAACCATTGGGAAATGCTATAAAGTTAAGTCTCTTATGACTGAATATCAGAAACCTCAAAAGAATTTATGTCAGAACTTGTTTCAGATTTCATCTGCTGTCGCTGGGGTTTGGCTAAAGGTGTTTTCATTTTGTAAAGCTCATCAGTCCTGTCAAGGCTGATGCTGATAGAAGCAGATTAGTTCAAAACGTTGTTAATCAGCCTGATTAACCGGTCTGTCTCTGATTTTCACCCTGAAATGTGAAGCCTGGAAGTATCCTTACAGGTGAGATTTTTGTTTTGGATTTGGAAATGGTAAAGTGAGGCACTTGATCAAAAAGAGTAATGACCAAAATAATAAGGGTGTATGGATGCCCTATCAGAAAGTTTGAGTCTCTCCTCACCCAATGGTGGGACCTTACTTCTTTTTATACTGTCATAATCATCTTTTTCTAATTTCTTCCCTATCCTTTTCATTGTATTTTTAAAGGTGACGATTTTCTATGGAGGACTCCATTGAGGTGATTCTGCAAAACCATGGCAAGCACCTTCCTACCACCAAAGCCCATCCCCTGGTGTCAGCCTGTACAGGCGTGGTGCTCACTGGCCTGTATGGACTCTGGAGCCTGTTTGCTCTGCCTGGCTTTCGAAAAGTCCCCCTGAACCTCAAGGTTCTTGAGATTCCTTTTTTTCTGTTCTTACCTGCCTGCTTTGCCTTTTTCCAAACCTTCAGCTGCAAAACACTGCACATTCATTTGAAATCAAAGATTAGATGCCAGATTTAACATAACTTACATATTAACTATCATTTGTTTATTTTGGAGCATAGTGCTCCATGCTATCAACAAATGTGGAAAAAGAAGAAAGGGGTAAGTCTATAACTGTGATCATGCTTTACATAGACCTGCATGGTCTTAATCTGAAAGACCTACTGTGCAGGAATTCATTTCTGTAATATAAAAGAGCTTTTGCTATTTCTCTTTTACTGTCAGTACAAGATGAACAAGAAAACATGATGATCAGGAGCAGAATGTCAGAATTTGGGTAACATAAAACTTTATAAATTTGATTTTGCTCTTGCGCCTTTTGATAATATTTCTCTTATCTGTGTTTTTATTAAAGTTGTGTCGATGCTTTGCTCTTCCTACCTGATACTTTGTATCTCTTTTTTTATATAACACATAAAAACAAGTTTACTGCAGAGAAAACAAGAATTTGACAAGCTCTCAGGTTGATCCTAGTTTAATATGGTCAGAGCCCTGCTGAATTCAGAGAGAAGGAGAGATGTGGTGTTTTATTTGACAGTGTGTGGGAGACTAGATTCAAGGTTATAGTTTCAGCACTTTAAAACATCACATCACAGAAGTGAACTTGGTCTGAAGTAGAGATTTTTATATATGGAAAAGAAGAAATTATTGTTTACCTAGGATGAAGTTACAGAGTCAGAGATGTGAGAACTTTTCATTGACCTTAAATCAGACCATTGTTCTTTTCTCACAGTTGAACTTGATAAAAGTTGATCTGTTATAGTTCTCTATTTACTGTATACTGGCACAGTATGAAACTCCTGTTATCATGACATATTTAATGGCTATTGTTTATTTTTGCTGTGGTCCAGGTGCCTTATTTGCCCTCAAGTAAAGAGCAGACACTGAACACTATGAAGCTGCTTCAGGGACGAACAGGCCGCTTAGCAGATCTGGGATCAGGAGACGGGAGGCTGGTTAGTGTGTTGTATCAAAACTGAAGTCCAAATCTGTATTTTTCAGCATTCAAATTCCTTTTGTAAATTCATTGCCTCTGTACTCAGTGGGTTACAGCAGTTTTATTTGATATCATTCATTTGAATTTTTCAGGTGCTTGCTGCCTCCTCAGCTGGATTCCAGTGCACAGGGTTCGAGATCAACTCCATTTTAGTGACATATGCAAGGAACAAGGCTCGCTGGTCAGGAGTGCCCTCAAGCCAGGCAACCTTTGTGAAAAAAGACTTCTGGAAGGTAAGCCTTGACACTGATAATCTCTTCCTTAATACAAAGTTCTGAAATGGCGTGTTCGTGTCATTTGGCTTTCAGACAGATTTATCGTCCTACAACAACGTGACAGCCTTCCTTGCTCCTGGGGTGGTGAGTTGCTCTGCGTTCCGATTCGTCAGTCATGTTGCACACATTGTATTTGAATGCTAAGAAACTGACATAGCCTTTTCTGTTTGGTTTATAGATGGAGGTTTTGGGTGAGAAGCTTTTGAATGAGCTCCCTGATGATGCCCGGGTCGTCGCTTGTCGGTTTCCCTTCCCTGGCTGGCCAAAACAGTCGTCTGCTGGTTCTGGTCTGGACCAGACTTTTGCTTATGATATAAGCAGTGTACGTTCATACCTGAGAAAGATGCCTGACACAGTGTGTGCAGTAAGTCCTTGTTATGTGATGAAATAGGTGTTATCTGTCAGTTTTTGTAACTCTAAAATGAAGTCATCCCTTCAAAAGATGTTTTTTTTCCACATTAAAGGGATTAAAGGATAAACATTGGATTCTTTTGCTGCATTTCTTTACCTTTTTTTTAAAGACGTCCTCAGATAAACTTTACCCGAGTCACATGACCTTTTAAAGGGATATTGCGGTGTAAAATTAAGTTAGGGTCAAGCACACTGTAACATCGAGTTAGACACCCCGTCAAAAGATGAATGTTGCCGACTGCTTGCTTCTCTAGTTATACCAACTTTAGTAACGACCGCATGATAGCAATACAGAGAGCCACGGGCTCAACCAAAAAGCCGCTCTACAGCCACAAATGATGCTCAGAACAGCACCTAACTTCATCAACAGTATAAAATAAAAGGTCTCAGCCATAGTACTAGCCACCAAACATCTTTTTAGCTTTGCCTGATTTCTTAAGCAAAGAGACTCGCACTCTCTCCTCCAGCAGCCGCTTGTTTGTCTGGAGACCTCCGGGCGAGTCCATTGACTACAGCGGGGGGACGCAGCTCTAGGAAGAACATATATGATAATTTCTTTATGGAAATGCAATCAGACCGAGACGCTAAAGCAAAAGAACTACAGCGTCTGCAGTGCAAAATGATTAATATGATGATTATTACTTCAAGGAAATGATACGGTAATGATCATAAATGTTCTTCCTTGAGCTGCGTCCCCCTGCTGTAGCCATTAGACTCGCTCAGAGGTCTCCAGACAAACAAGCGGCTGCTAGAAGAGAGTGGGTGAGTCTCTTTGCTAAAGAAATTAGGCAAAGCATTATTTGTGGCTATAGAGTGGCTTTTTGGTTGAGTGCGTGGCTCTCTGTATTGCTATCTGCAGTGGTTACTAAAGTTGGTATAACTACAGAAACAAGCAGTTGGCAACATTCATCTCTCAATGGGGCGTCTAACTTGGTGTTTCAGTGTGTTTGACCCTAACTTAATTTTACGCTGGAATATCCCTTTAAGGGCCATATGGTTCTGTCTAACCAGTAATCTGTTTTGTTTTTTTGTTTGTTTGTTTATTTTGTTTTGTTTTCAATTAAAAATCAATAAATATTTTGTGGACTTCACTCAAACAGTTTGACTGTAGCACACCATGACAGTAAATAATTTGTTGTTTCTTAATTTGTAAAAAAAAAGGGGCCAGGTGAGGCAAGTTCAAGTTGCACATTTCTGTACTGAGGCATTTAAAAGTGCTTCACACAAGACATTAAAAGAAAACGACGGAGGTCAGAAAACCACATTGCATTAAAAGAAGAAAGTAAAAGTTCAAAGTCATCAAAATTGCTCGTAGCACCCCACCACGCAGTGTCATTTATGCCTAAATGTGCAATGAACTTTAGTAAACTTGGTCTCCAGGCATACTGGGTGAATTCTGCTCTGCACACTAGTCCACGTGAGGGCGCTGTTGGTCCAAACTGATTTAGAGTGAATTTGGTGCAGACTCGCAGGAGGTGGTGATCCTGAATAGAATACAAAATAGTGTTTATCCTCTGCATTGTGGGTATTTTGTCGTCCAATTCTTTCACACCAAGCACACAGTAGACCTAACTTACAGACTGTTTTTTCACCTAAATGTGACTGTGCCCGGATACCATGGACATATTGAGTCAACACTAGAACTCCATGTATGTCGATCTTTGTCGTTTCAGTGCCTTTGATATCGGCTGCTGATAGAGGTAATATATATATCAATTATTAAATCTATCTCACGCGCAGATTTATCCCTCTTGGTCGTGGCAACGCCGATGTAAACGCAGGGTCGGCTAATCGATATCAGTCAGACCTCATGCTCGTGTCACGCCCTGACGTCAGAGGGAGGGCGGCAGACAGCGGGTGGGGAGGGTGCCAGAGTATAAAAACCTCAGAGACAGACTCCGAGTTACATTCTCTGTCCGGGTCGGTGAAACATATCAAATGGAAGTACAGAGAGGCACCGGGCCCCAACAGACAAACAGCAGCAGTATGAGCGAGTCCACGCAGAGGTCCTGCGAACCTCGCCGGAAAAGGACGGATGATCGCAGCGCGCCCTCAGAGATGGCCAGGATTATCACGGATCCCGTCACGGGGAAGTGCTACTGCCGGGGGAAAGTTTTGGGAAAGGTTAGCGCACAGAATCTGATGCCAGATCTTCGTGGATATATCTCGTTAACCCGAAGACGCAGCGTGTTAACAGTGTCTTTCCTATTTTCAGGGAGGCTTTGCAAAGTGCTATGAGATGACGGATCTCTCCACCAGCAAAGTTTATGCAGCCAAAATCATCCCACACGCACGCGTCTCCAAGCCTCACCAACGAGAGAAGGTAAGCGCGCGGCTCCGGTGCGCACAGACATCCCACGCCGAACACTTTAGAGTCGACCCCTTAAAAATTAGTGTACATTAAAATCGTGTCCTTTCTGATTTCTTCCTCACTAGATTGATAGAGAAATCGAGCTGCACAGAGCTCTGCACCACAAACACATCGTGCACTTTTATCATCATTTCGAAGACAAGGAGAACATCTACATTTTGCTGGAATACTGCAGTAGAAAAGTAAGTGAAGTTTTAAGATATCATGTGTTCCTACCTGAGTGTTCAACTTCTCTGCAGTGTGTTTGAAATTTTGAGAACACCCGCATTGCACCTTCACTCCAGGAGGCAGTACAAAAGCAGCATGCAGGGTCCCCTTCCCCTTGAAAACATAATTTTATGATACAGTAATAGCCTTTTTTTTTTTTTAGCTCTGGTAATTTAAAGAAAAAAATGGCATTGTTATTTTCTATAAGGAAGTTTAAGTAAATGTACAGAATATAAATATTTGTGGTAACAGCCGTTTAATCATTCCTTCCTTTGCATTGTGTGTCTTTGCAGTCATTAGCCCACATCCTGAAAGCTCGTAAAGTACTAACAGAGCCAGAGGTGCGTTACTATCTACGACAAATTGTTGCTGGCCTGAGGTACCTGCACGAGCAAGAGATCCTTCACAGAGACCTGAAACTTGGTGAGGAATCTTTCTGCCATCCCCAGTCCATCCATGACAGTTGTGCACAAATATAAAGTGACTTTCTGCAGAGAGAGACGATCCTTTGTTGTCCCTCTGCCGCTTGCTTCTCTTTCATCAACTCAGGAGAGGATCAGTGCCTGATTGAGCCTTTGATCCCGTGTGAGTACTCATCATTTCATTCTCCTCCTTCCCCACAGGTAACTTCTTTGTGAGTGAGTCGATGGAGCTCAAGGTCGGGGACTTTGGTCTTGCTGCCAAGTTGGAGCCAGCAGGAAACAGGAGGAAGACGATCTGTGGAACTCCCAACTACCTTTCCCCTGAGGTGCTCAACAAGCAGGGCCACGGCTGTGAATCAGACATCTGGGCCTTAGGCTGTGTAATGTGAGTGGGCACACTGTAAATTCACTCCATTAAGTTCTTAATGTGTGAGTAACTGTAGGTTTTATGATTGAATATTAATGGATAATAGATGATCGGCTTGAAAGGATGCAATGAAGTTATATTTTCAAGAATTTCACCATCTTTACTCGTCAGATAAAGAACATGGTAGGGCTGAAAAGAAGTTAATTATGCCCTTTATCCCCTGACAGGTACACAATGCTTCTGGGGAGGCCGCCATTTGAAACCACCAACTTGAAGGAGACATATAAGTGTATAAGAGAGGCACGTTACTCCCTGCCCTCCTCCTTGTCACCACAAGCTAAGCAGTTAATTGCTAACCTTCTTGCAAAGATCCCAGAAGACCGACCCAACCTGGACCACATTCTGAGGCACGACTTCTTCACACAGGTTAGATAGACATCATTGTCTTGTCTCCCTGACCCCTTTCTCTCTGCGTGCTGCCTGTCCTTCTTGCTAGATGTCACATTGTTGGCTCATGAGAGTGACCCCCAAACCACCAGTTGCACACTGACCCACTTTCTCCCTCTCCACAGGGCTTTAGTCCAGAGCGTCTGCCACCGAGCTGTTGCCACTCAGCACCAGATTTCCACGTCTCTAGCCCGGCCAAAAGCTTCTTCAAGAAAGCTGCTGCTGCACTCTTTGGTGGGAAGAGAGACAAGGTCAAGTACTACGAGACTCTGAGTGAGTGTTGCATGAGCTACTGAGCACTCGTGTACCGAAAAATCACACCACTTTTTAGAAAATTGATTGAAAATAACTACAGACAAAACATTTTAAGTATATTTCACATTTTCTTCCTGTTTTGGTGGTTGAAGTATCTGCAGGTTAAGAGGTCAATGATTTATTTATTTATTTTTTGCTGTTTTTTTGCTTGTTAAAGACAAACTAACCAAAGAGGAAGAGGAGATCTACAAACTGCAGCACGACATGGAGAGAACTGCCATCAGCCAGCAACACTGCAAAAAAATCTCTGAGGTAAGAGGTCATTTAATCTGCATAAATCAAAATATTTGCCTCAGAGTAGGAGAGGTTTTTTTTTTTTTCATGAGGCCATTAAGAGAACAGGTTGACTAGAAATTTTATGCTGAGGAGAATAAAGTGAGTCATTCTGATGCAGCACTGAACTTTATAACAAGCACAGTTTCAGAACAAACTAAAAAGCACTTATTGCCAGCCTCCCAGCCAGCCACTCTGAATCTGTGGGTGACGGCTGAGTCAGAGTAGGAAGAGATGATCTAAACTCCCAGATTCTCACTCCTGTCGTCACCGATTCCCACCTCAGAATGGAAGTCTACTTCCGCCATCTGCCGAGAGACCTGTCGCCCCGGCAACAGAGAGCCAGTCCCCGACGACGCGAGACACCATCCGCCTCATCGTCAGAGGGAGTCTGGGGAGCTGCAGTAGCAGTAGTGAATGTAAGTTCATCTCGTTACGCACGTAATGACAGACATGAATGTGATTTAAAATGGCAAACAAAAGCTACATGCGTAAGAGAGGAATCAAGCTAAATGACATCCTTTTGTTTTTGTTCCTAAAGGCCTCGAAGACAGCACAACAGGAAGCGTGGCTGAGACTGTTGCCAGTGTTTTAAGAGGATGCCTGGAGAATATGCCCAACGGTGAGGGCACTTGTTGCAATGATTTGTAAAACCATTATCTACACAGGGGGCTTGGTTTTGAGAACGCTTCATACAAGGAAAAGGGAGAAGTTTACTTACAAAGTATATTTAGCAAGAAGAAGAAGAAGAAGAAGTGCTTTATGGAAGACAACAAAAGCATAAGGATACTTGTGTATTTGAGCTCAGGAGATTGATGTTTAGATAGATACACTCCCTAATTTTGTTAACCAAATTCCCCTCCTGCTCAGTGTTCGTTTAAAAAAATCAACTATACAGTTTATGGCTAAGTTTCAGGAAGCCTGAGGAAATGTTAGTGTTAGGTGAAGCTCCAGGGGCTTAAACAGGGTCAGGGGTTGTATGGGGTTGCGCAGTTATGCCTCTTCTCAAATCCTTCCTGTAATTGTATTCTAATCCTCCGCCTCCCTCTGCCCTCTCACCCTGCAGCGGATGACACTCCTCAGGGCTCAAACAGCTGCAACCTCCAGTGGGTGACTAAATGGGTGGACTACTCCAATAAGTACGGTTTTGGCTACCAGTTGTCTGATCACACTGTGGGAGTCCTCTTCAACAACGGCACTCATATGAGCCTCCTGCCAGACAGAAAGTAGGCACTACTCAAAGCTTTCACTGCACTCCACCTTCATTTTGAAAGTTGTTAGTCACTCCATATAATGGAGGTAGCTTGTTTAAGCATGCTTAAGTAAATTGAAACACTCTTTGGAAGGTGTGCTGAACCGCAATGATAGCTTTAACTTTTTCCATTTGAGTGTGATATTTTGTTTTTTGCCTTAATATAAGCGAAAACGATGGATTCCATTCTAACTAAAATACTTGCTTTAGTTTTTCGAAACATTTTTATTTAAACATAGAAAAAATGTATTTGAGGAAGCTTTAGCTTTGTTCTCTTTAGTTGAATATTTGTTTATGTAAGCGTATGCTAATCTCTTCATCTCCTTTGTGTTTCTTCAGGACAATCCATTACTATGCAGAGCTGGGTCAGCGCTCTGTGTTCCCCACTTGTGAGGTTCCAGAGCACTTTGTGGGCCAGGTGACCGTGCTCAAGTACTTTTCCCACTACATGGAGGAGAACCTGATGGATGTAAGTAAACATCTCTATCATCCCCACACCTCTTTCTTTTGTCTTCTCATCCCTAGAGCGATAGAAACTGTATTTTCATGTCACAGCCTGTCTAATCCTAATGTGTGACTCCTTTGCTTTTCTCAGGGTGGGGACCTAGGTAGTATGACAGACGCACACATGCCCAGACTCTACCTGCTGCAGTGGCTCAAATCCGACCGCGCCCTTATGATGCTCTTTAACGACGGCACCTTTCAGGTAAACAGGAGTGCAACGGTTGCTGGGCATGCTCAGAAGAGTACTGTTTGGGTGCAAGTCATAACAGTTTCTGTGTGGTTTGTTATGTCTGGTAAACTCATATGGGCTGGGCACCTTTAATGCATTGCATGTTGAAGAGTGAAGTACTACCATTGCTCCAGTGCAACAAAGGGAGGCAGAAATTGACAAAAGAAAAAAAAAAAACACAAAAATAACAAACCTTTTCCATCTCCACAGATCAACTTCTACCACGACCATACCAAGATCATCCTGTGCTGCCAGAGGGACGAGTACATGCTCACATACATCAATGAAGATCGTGTCTCCAAAACCTTCAAACTGAGCTCCCTGCTGAAGTCTGGCTGCCCCAACGACCTGCGTGAACGCATGGTGTACTCTCTCAACATGCTTCTGCAGAGGTGCAGCTAAACCCACAAAGATATTTTGGACTATGTTGAAACATACTGATCTACACAGCGTGTTGCCGCAGTGCTGCAGTGAAACCTGGATCTGTGCAAGAAGAGACAACGTGAGGACGGACCTATGAAAAGTTAATTAACATTCCCACACTGTTGCACCTTGGTGACTCAGCAGAGGTGCCCATGGAAAAATAATACAGACAGACTCTGTGGATGGGGAAATGAAATGTAGCGCAATGGATGCTTAAGGGCTGATTTGTATGTTGATTGTTAAAGGAAAGGATTTAGTGAGGCTGTTGAAGGGAGTACGTTGGTACGAATGTGAAAAGAGGGATGTTTGGGAAGTGAGGACCAACGCTGGGCTGGCACCAGCTTAAACGTGTACAGAGTAGTTGATGCTGTTTTATAAAGAAAATCCATAGACTATAGCTCTGAATGTAACCAGAGCTAAACCATGGAATCCTGTAAATGATGTACAGTGAATGTAACAGCCCACTCAGCAGTGCAAAGACATGATTGCTAATGTGTGCGGAAGCTACTGAGTCCACCTGTTTATACGTGTGTGAGAGTGCGTGCGTGTGAGTGGGACGAGTGTATCATCACGCTAACTCTAAAAAACTGTGATTTGTTCTGTTAGCTGACAGATGGACTCAGCACACTGAGCTGAGAAACAGTGGGGTGATGTTAGAGAGAGGGAGGAGAGAAGGGGAACAGGAGGAGATAACAATTGGCTAAAAAAAAAGTACCAAGGATCCTCCAAGGGTCAGTTAAGAGCCATTATCAGCTTGGTAGATAATGTCCTACTTAAGTTATTGTGTAAAAAAAAGCGCAGTATTTATTTATTTAATAATAAAAATCATTTTGTTAAAAAAAAAACACCTGAGTTTGACCTTCTCATTCTTTTATGTCCTTTTAACTCTGGTTTCTGAAGACCTGCTACAACTATTAGTATGCCCTTTTCCATATGTAATAAACAGAGTTCATGCACTGTAGTGTGTTAAGAAGTAAATAACACTATCATTTGTGCTCTGGTCCAAGTCAAAGCAAGTATTTTATCTGTAAACTTGGGCTAGCAACAGGAAATGGGCTTAGAAGGAGAGATGGATATGTGATATACAGGTCTTATTTACAGTAAGGTTGTTTATTAACTCCTTCAAGGTCAGAGCTTTCTTCTCTAATTCAAGAAATTAGATGGCAGAGACTGCAGTGTAGTTGGCCTCGTCGCACACTTAAACACAGACAGCCGCACATTACTTTGCATACAAACAAGTGCTCAGAAAGGCAGGTTGGAAATAAATAAGGCAGACAGCCAGTGACATGCAGCCCCTGTGATGCTGACAATACTATGTCAGCAATTGCATCACAGCTTTTCAGTTAATGTGTCTCCAATTCTTAAATATCATCTCCCATTCACTGACTGTAACCATGGAAACACGAAAGCACTGACCCCTTGATAAGAGTCAGAGATAAACGAAGGCATAAAAAACATCTGTCACAGATTCTTCCTGAAGAAAGCCAGATTGCATGCTCTGACATACTCACGCTGAAATTATAACACCTCTCGTCTCTCTGATGTCTGCACAAGTATACAATCTGTTGAGCACCACTCCTCCTTTAGCGCTTATGCAATGGCGATAGTTGAACATGGATGTTTGAGTCATCCCTTTGGATATTCAGCAAGAATATCTGTGCTCTTCAGAGCTCAATAATGAATGCCTCATGCATAAACATACCCACACAGACAGACACAGAACAGGAAGTTGCCCACAAAAAGAAGGAGCGGGAATTATTCATGACGACACCCCTAGGTTTGAGTGCCTGTGTTTTGACAGTAATGGCCCCTGGAATGGATGCCTCAGTCAGACAGAAATAGATTTTGTTGTTGATGTGAAGTTTTCTGGCCTTCCAGGGCATTTCTAACCCCTGGATCCTGCATCTGAACAAAAGTGCAGCTACTCCATCAGATGGACCGAGGCAAATTAATAACACACTGCTGGCTGGCAAGAGGAGAAACTGCTGTTTCTCTGTGGTATAGTGTGTGATAATGTTTCTAAGTCCGGCTCCTCTAATGAACCTGAGTTGAAAATTCACACCACACCTAAGTGTCCTTTGTGAATCAGCAAATATTAGCACTCTTGGCCCCATGAGTACCTTTTCCATGCCCTTGAGCAAAAACCAAAAAGTCAGATAAACTAATTAGAAAACCCTGTGGAGTTTAAAAAGCTAAGATTGCAAGTTCACTTAATAGTTTCAGAGTCATTGCAGTTTGAGAAAGAATTGCTAATAACACTGCAGGTTTTCAGAATCACCCACACAAAGCCGCTCCTCTCTTATGCCCTGTTGACAGTAGGGAAAGCCTTGTGCCTTGTGGCTAAGCTCTGTGATGTTCCTAAGCCTAATCTTTATTCCTTGCCTTCGATCATAAAGTTCTCCACAGGCAGAAGAGTGAGTCAGTTGGCATTAGAAGTGATAGTAGGCACATACTGCCAGAAAGAAAAACATCGGCTACTTTGATACATACATACACTGGGAAGCTCCTAAGGGATCAGAGGGCCTTTGCATATCAAATGTCAGCAGTCCTCCTCCTACTATGTAGACAAAAACAGATGTACTGATCGAGCTGAAATGACTGTAGCTTTGCCCATCCCCTGATGTGGCCCACAGAATTGACTAAGAAGATGAGCAATCTAAAGTAGTTATTCTTCCAAAGGTGTAAAACTTGGTCAGAAACTGTGGGCTAGTTGTTAAGATAGTAAAGATAGAGGGAAACTGCATTTGATACATCTATAGAATTTACCCTCTTCCAGTACTATCACTTACTCGTTCCTTATAGGCCACCCTAGCTTGCATCAGTGCCCCAGTTGGGACATCCCTGGAGCCAGCCCAAGCCTCAATAGGGCCCTAAGCAAAATTTGATTTTGGGGCCCTCTATTTCTACCGATAATATTGATTGTTGATCATTCACACACCTTCACAAATCTTTTTGATTAACATTCCATGACATGCAAACATACCTTTATCTTGGCGTTTTTTTTCTTCTTCCCATTTCTTTTCTCTGCTCCTGAAGAATACGTCCTTTTTTGCGACATTGTTTTGCCCCACAATGGATGCTCAGTGCATATTGCACAGCAGGAGGCACATAACAGTAGCTTTGACATATCAGCAGTAAGAATCATAGGCCTACATCAGCAGCAGCACAAAAATGTTTTTACTCCATTTTATTTTATTCTTACAATAATGTATATTTGATCATACAGAAATTATCACTCATACATGCAAAAAATATACATATTTCAAAAAAATTTTGATTACTCTTCGGGCCCCCCACTAGCTGCAGGGCCCTAAGCAGGCACTTAGTTCGCTTATGCCTTGGGCCGGCCCTGGACATCCCATCTGTGACTGCAGCATTGTCAGTGTGATTTCGATTTTAATGTTATTTTCTCACTTACAACTTATAAACATAGCAGGAATAGATGGTGGTAGTGTTAAAGGGAGGATGTCATGCATTTTTTTTTCAGACTCTATATTTTCTTTCTGGGCGCTTCGTTTTTACTACTGTCTCTTTAAATCCCCCCCAACAAGCCCACAAGCCTACTTTTTTCTGATTGGCCACCTATCCTTCGTTGGATAGGTAGAAGGAGCCCCGCCCCTTCTATTGTGATCGAGCAGCGGAGCGGCGCTACTCCGATTACCGTCATATATTTATATATTTATATATTTATATATTTGTGTACCTTGTCTGTGGTTGCCCTGCTTCGCCGTGGGTGTCACTTCACACGCTGATGAAGGTAAAACCATCAAGGAGAGCCTATAATCTTTACATCACACTTAAGTAAATCTCGCACATAAACTGTGGTCTCGCATTTTGGCGCGTTTGTCCGAGATTTGAGTTTATGTTTACTTTCTCGGATTATGACAAAATACGTTAACCTTGTGATTTGAAACTTTGCATACATATAGTATGGACACTATACTTTGTAACTTTACAGTTGATACCCCCCACCCCCTATCCTTGAACATTTAACATCTTAAACTGAATGCCAAGTGGAAATAAATCTTGTTTTTACATATTAATATTGTTTCTATAAGCAACAGCTTCATTCATCCCCCCAAAGTACCAATAAAACCCTGGGTCTGCTAATCTTTCAGGTGTTTGGATATGTCAGGAGCAGAGAATAGTGAACACCTCAACAGTGTGTTGCTCATGTTCTCTGTACTGATTACTGCTATTTCTGGTAACCAGCTCTTTAAAAAACTTTGCTTGTTTTATGCCTAAAAACAGAGCCTTGCTACATTATTTGTTGGTTAATTCATGAATCAAAGTATACCACCGTATATGTTGACCTTAGGATACATTGCAGTATCTTTAAGCATTTCTTTTTGTCAGAATTATGTCACATAATTTATTCAGCAGGTTTCAAGATAGGGCCTTCTCTTTGAGAAGCTTGACCAGATTAATTTTCAAGCATCATAAACCAAATTTAATAGTGTATTATTGTTGCAACAAATGGTTTTAAATCTCAACATGAGGTTCTTGCAATCCCAAAATGAAATTAACAACATGAGCTTCATTAATTTCTGGGTTGTTGGCAAGTCATGTTTGATTAAAAGCATGTAATTACCTCATAAGTGACTGAAGGTTTCTTCATACAGTAATTAGTCATAGATTTCAGACTGTCATTGCTGAAATTAACAGAGGTGAATTGTTGCATGCAGCCTATGTCACACTACTGATGGATTGTCATAGACACTGTTATATGCATCATGAGGGCATTCCAGGCTGATACATGACTAGAAGATAAAGCTTGTATTAATTTTTAAAGCCCCTTTCTAATTGCGGCAGCACGTCCACTATGATGTCAGCAGTCAATGTGACTTCCTTGAAACAGAGAAGCAGCCTGCTGACTTCTGTAATAAAAAAGAATCACATGCTAGTGTGTGGGCAGCCTTCTGACAAAGACAGGAAGACAAATTGAAGTGGAGAAAAACTCCCACAGCAATCCAGTGCCCCGAGCTTTTTGAGGACAATATTCATGGATATAAAACATCAAACACAACAAACAGAAATAGCTCTCAGTCTAAAACACTAGAAAATACAAGCCATTAAGCATATACTGTTTCAAATGTGGTGATTTGGACCTCTTACTTTCCCCTTTTTTGATGAAGGTCTAACAGTCTATAGGTCATTTTTACCTTTCATTGGTAAAATGATTTCAAAACAACTAAACTAAGTGTAAAGTTAGTCTGCAGTGCGATTTGGTGGCAGGAACAACACCAAAACCTGACTCTGACTCTTTCCTTAGAATTGCAGCCGTTTGATTTTCATTCCTGTGGGTTAGGAAGCTTGTCCAAAAATTCTTGCAGCAACAACCTCCCCATCCTGTCATTATAGCTTAGTAGTTAACAGATCATTGAAATGCCCTGGGTTCAGAAATAATTACTGCCTTGGCTCTCATTTGGAGTAGCAGGCAATAAAGTGGAAATTGCATTCCATTCATGCTAGCAAATAAGCGAGTGTGTTATTGTGAATTTAAGAAGTTATACCGTCTTTTGCTGAGTTAAATCCTGTCTTAGATCATGAAGGATGTTATCCCGTTTCTTTGTTGTCTATTTGGAGTCTGCATGAAAAATACTACATCCGAGCTCTGCTCTATATACTCTGTTCAAACCTGGGAAAGATTACAAAACTATTATTTGTCAACTAAAGAAAACAGACTTGATATTCAAAGTGAATGTGTGAGCCATCAGCAGAGACAAATGCGTAATCCTCCTCCCATCATTCCATCTGACTGGCTCTTGTAAGAACGTGGTTAAAGGCTGTTTAAGCAGCTGAGCCGTGCTGGAATCATGAAATGTGGAAAGCAAGGAATTTAGCA